GAATTCACGTCACACCTGAATCCATAGACAAACAGTATCACGCAAGCCTCCTTCAACAAATAAAAGTAAAACAAACGGCGAATATAAGATAAAATCAGAAGCAAAAATTTTAATCGCCATTTTCAAGCAACTATAAACAAAATCTATGGTTTCGTTTCCATAATCGAAGAAACAAATAGTCGAAAAATGAAGTTTTGTAGGCTATACAACATATATAGCCCTCCCCTTTAAATAACATTAAGGGGAAACTTAATAAATGTCAAAATTTAAGTTTTAATATTAATAAAATGTCAAAAAAATTTAAAAAATTAAGAGAATGTCATTTTTTATCAAAAATAAAATAATAAAGTCCAAAATAACCTTAATGAATTCATGTCGCAACCAAATCCACAGACAAACAGTATCACCCAAGTCTCCTTCCACAAAAAAAAAAAAAAAAAAAAAAAAAAAAAACCCCAACAAAACAAAAAAAAAAAAATAAAAAAAAAAAAAAAAAATAAAAAAAAAAAAATGGTGAACCTACTCGGGCCCGCACAAATTTTTTCCTGGACTAGAACCATCTCATAGCCTAAAAGCCACTTGCTTGTCTAAGACTTACTTGTTTTTAAATACATCACTTCCATCTTGTGCTTAGCCAATGTGGGATTCGCCTAAGGTGTCACATTGAATCAAATTAAGTAAATACAGTATGCATGTATGTGTGTGTGTATCAGTTCAAAAATTAAAAGAAACATCCTAAAAAATCAATCAAACACAATACCTCAAAATGCCGAAAAAATTCATGCAATAATCAATAAAATAACTAACCTAAAATTTAAAATCTATAGAAATTTAGAATCGCAGCCAATACTGTCGGAGAAGAAGATAACAATTCGAAAAATAATGAACTAAAAATAGAAAAATCGATATTAATAGAAAATCTAATGAAAACAATCAGGTAGAAGAATTAAAAAATGAAATTAAATCGATTGTAAAACAGTTCAAGAAGAATGGAGTCAAATTGACTATATACGGCAAAAACCAACAAAGAATGAAATCAAACCGACGGAAAGAAAAAAGAAGACTATTGTAAAATACAAAGTTTATCGCAGAATAAAAGAAAAAGAAGAAAAAAAAAGTGGTGAAGGGATTGCTACGATCAAGCTCCATTTTCCGGTGAAGCGATTGCCTGTGATGATGACTCTCATGTCGATCCTACCGCTGAAGGCAGAATTTACGTCCATCGTTGAAATTTTAAAGTGAAAGGAAGCGACAATGCGTGAAGAGCAATGAATATGAAAACTTCATATAAAAGTGTGATTAGGCGACTAACACACCTAGTAGTCCCCTTTTTTTTAATAAAAAAATAAAAATGTTTTTATTTTTATAGTTTTTGTCAAAGTGACATTTTTAAATAAGGTTTAAATATATTACCTAATATTAACAAACTTAGAATCTGTAAAAGATTATAAGTTAATAAACATAATTTTTCTTTTGAACTTATTTATCAAGATAAAAAAAATGTTAGATTTTACATTTTCAGCAAATCCAAAATTTATTTAAAATGACTAAAAAAATCAGGTTTAACATTTTTGATCAATTTAACCCTTAATTCATTACTATACTTACAATGTGAGAATTATTTTATAAATATTTATTAAAACTATAATTGAGATTAGACTATATAATTTATTAAAAAAATTAATTAAATATGGAATAAAGGAAAATGATACATAATGTATCAATCTTTACCTTGATTGACGATTTTAAGTTCATAAATATTTATTAATTTAAACATTCTAGATCGGTCTTTATTAATGAGTTATTACATATGAAATCTATGCATCTATTGAACAAATTGAAGTTATACTAAATGTTTTATAAATTTACTATGTTAAAAGAAATAATGTTTATGGATTTTAAATTTTTATTCAGAAATATTGGAAAAGATTGATCTAGATGTTTTGTCCTTTTGTGGGTCTGTCCGGCGTGAATCTAAATTAGTAGGGTAAGTGGACTTTGAATAATAGATGTTTAAAATAAAAATTAAAAATTAAAAATTACCAGAAAAGAATAAATCAGTTAATCGTTAATAGTTAAATATAGGTTATAATACACTCTTTAGACACCCATGTGTATGCCATTTACACCTGAAACATGAACCATAAAATGATAAATTTAGGCATGGCATCTTTAGCAATGAGAACTGTTTGAACAGATAAAGTTCGATCCTTTATCTGCTTATTTATTGCTTGCACGGGGACACATTACAGTTTCAGCAAATGCTTTCAGTTCAGATATTTTTCTACTCATGTATAACAACAAAAGAAAGAGATCAGATCAGCGCAAATGACATATATATATATATATATATATAATATATATAGTATGACTAATATAAAGTAATTTTTAGCTAAATAATCTGCGAAGTGATTGTTTTCTCTGTTTACATATAATGGCTATTTCCCATTCAGGTTCTATAAAAAACTTGAAAAAAAAAATATAAGTGGAGAAATGAAATATTTGCATTTGAAAAGATTTACGTTGAACTTTATCTTCACTCGTTTGGGAGCTCGCAGCTAAACTCTATTTTGTTTTTTTCTTATTTATTTATTCATTACAAAAGAGATCTAATAATTCTATACTAAGCAAATCAAAACCACCCAATAATCAAAGAGTTAAAACAATAAAAAAAAAAAAAGCCGAGTCAGAAATTTGGAAAGCTGACTCAAGTCCTGTCATGTGTTTGGTTGGAAAGAAAATGGAACAAACTCATCATAGAAAAATAATCTTTCGGTGGAGAATTCAGTAAATCTGTAATCCTACCATGTGGGCTCCTCGAGAAATAGATAGTGGGCCCATGTGTATGGCTTGAGGATAGTGGGCCCATGTGTATGGCTTGAGTTCAGAGGGTTTTTTCACAGGCCCATGTGCATGTACGGGCCACGTGGGATGTTGGGTTTATTGACATTGTTTGTTCTTTTCTTCTTCATCAAAGAGGATAAGGATAGAGGTAGAGAAAACTTAAGAGCTGTTTGTTTGTAGCATTTTTGTATGAGTTGGCAACTTAAGTAGGTGTCTTTTGTCTTTGTTTGTAGCAAACTAGCAATTGGGTTTTTTTTTTTTTTTTTTTTTTTTTTTTGTCTAGTGGTCAAAGGAAGAGCAATTATTTATAAATAATTCCACAGTTTTAAAGTGGACACATAAAGATTTGTGAAGTTGCGAAAGTTTAGGTATTAGTTTTTTTTTTTTTTTTTTTTTTTGTCTAGTTGTCAAAGAAGAGCAATTATTTATTAATATTCACAGTTTTAAGTGGACACAAAAGTTTTGAAGTGCGAAAGTTTAGGTATTAGTAAGATTTGTTCTATCATACTGCTTTTTTATTCTTTAGAAATCATATGCATGTGTTCTTCTTTGATATATATATTAATTTCCCTCCTCTTAACTCTTGAATGTTTTTTTTTTAGCCTACTAATTTTAATTTTTGGCTCTGTCATTAAAAGAATATATAATCTTGTCCTTAAATTAATTAGATTGTATAATATTAACTAATCAGATGTACTTTGTTCGTTCTTTTCATTAATGTGAAAAGTGGAATCAATAAAAGTCAATCCTATTAATTTAATCAATTTATTAATTTGTAGAAATTAAAACAAATTCAAGTGCATAATTTTTTTAAAAAATTTAACTGAAAAAATAAAATCTAACCTTTTTTATTTTGATTCTAAAAAATGAAATCAAAAAAATTAGCTCAGAAATTGGCCTGTTCTAGAAAAACTGACTATTGACAAGTCAATAGTTCGACACCTATTTCGACCTGTGGTTGTAATCAATGCCGTGCACTATCACATTCCCACGATTTAAATAACATTTATAAAAAAAAATACCAATCATTCAGCGAGTTAAACGTTTGGATTTGAATCCATGGACAAAATGTTTTCGGGTCCATTTACCAACTGAGTTTAAAATGATGGATATCTGCTCTACATTGAAAATTCAAAGGGTCTGTATCCTACTCACCCTCGAAATGAAAGTGACTGACCTGGAACAAGTTTGCATTTAAGAGAATTAAACCTATGATCTAAATTATAGTTATCAATTCCATAATTTTTTTTTTGCCGTTGAGCTATCTTCGTTCTAGTTACATTTTAAATTTATTTTAAGTGTCTAGAATAAATAAATTTCACAAAATTTTATGATATTCATTTATGCATCCAAACTTTTGTGTTTGTTATGAAAAATAAAAAATAAAAAATTAAATTTCAGATATTCAATTCTTTGAATTTGGATATAACTAAAATAAAATCTATGAAAAGAGATAAAATTTCTAAATGAATTCTATAAATTTAAACAATTCAAAGTTTTATGATAAAACTATCTATTCTCCTCATCTTCTAAAATTGCTATGCCAAAAGTACATTTTAGAAAATAAAAGCAAATGAATTATCAATTTTAAATTTATTCAAAAAATGAAAAATTTATTTGCAAATTAATTGAATTAATAAATACACATTTTGAACTTATTCATCCCAAACGTAGCCCAAGACTAACAGGATTCTATTTTTTTTTATTTTCCCAACCTATTGGAAAAAAAAAAAAAAAAGGAAAGAAAAATTTTAGAAACAAACCAAAAATGGAATAGAAACCACTGAAATTACTTGCCTAGAGAGGGTCCAAAGCCAGGTTTATATATCAAACCAATGACAGTAATGATTCTTTAAAAAGTGTTCTGACTTTATTTTTTTTTATTGAATGGTCAGAAATATCCTCATTTCAATAAGAAACATTATTCTCATTGGTTTGATCCATAAGTGAGGTCATGGACCCAATTTAAATAAAATTTTCCAAAAAACCACAACTAGAACAAACCAAATTTGGTTTAGACGGGTCCCGTCCACACAAAAATAATATCATTTTCTTTTTCACATGGAATAAAATAAAAACACGCTAAAAAAAATCTTATGTAATAAACACTACTACACTATCTATATATAAGAATAGCCATCGCAAATTCTGTTCTCAAGGCAAGAAAGGGTTGTAAAGTACACTGGTAGCTCATGGCAACTGGTTTCTTGCCACGCTCATTGTTATCTTCATCAACACTACAAAATGAATTGTATAGATTTCCCTCACAGAGAGCCCTTCGAGTCCATACTCCTATCAATTTGCAGGTCCGGTTCTCGGTGACTGCAGAGGCTTCCAATTTAACGGAGGACAGACGGACGGCCAATTATCAACCAAGCATTTGGAGTTATGACTATTTGCAATCCTTGAACAATGACCATGTGGTAACTATATTTCTCTCCATTTCTTTAACTATTTACATATATTTATATATTAAAAGAACGTTTATGTCCCTAATAGAAGGTAATATAATATAATAAAAAATGTTTTTATTTTTTAATCTAAATATTATGCTAAAAATGAATGTAGCTATAAGATGCATGGACACCTTAAAAGGTCTATCTTATCGGTATTGTACCCGTGTCAGACACCGACACTCTTCGAACACTCTCAGACACGTGTCAGATACTTTAAAAAATGTGTCTGATTATTTTTTTAATTTTATTAATTTCAGATACTTCTAGAACATTTTTAAGAACACTTTAAGGATACTTCTTGAACACTTCTTGGACACTTGTAAAAATTTTATAAAACTTTTAAATAATCTTTTAACAAAAAAATTTAAATTGAGGTCATAAATATAAATTAGATAAATATATATACTTAAAATAAAAAATTACAATATATATAAGAAGAAAAAACCCTAAATCATTATGTAGGGTTTATAATTTTATTGCCAAATTTAAAAATTGATTTTTGTTTGTAGTAATCTTCTACTTTTATCAAGAAGAAGCCCATAATATTATGTTGAACAAACAAAATATAAGACATTATAGGAGATCAATTTGACTCTTTTGAAGATATTGAAATTCTTGAAATTGTCAATTTATTTTTAGATGAGCCAAAGATGGAGACGATAATCTTTAATGATGATGTTATTATTAAGAATTTAACTAATGATGTTGAAGTAAACAATTAAGTATTTTTTATTTTATGTTTATAACTTTTTATGGATCGTTATTTACATATTTAATTTCTTAATAAATTATATTTTTTTAGTATAATGTGTCACGAACGTATCATGTCCTATTTTTAAAAAAATTACTGTGTCCAGAGTCCATGCTATCTAGGCTATATTGCATTACGTTTCGGCTCTAAGCCAGAATTTTGGGTTTGTGAGAGCTAAACAAAATTTCTAAAATTTGAGGGTAAAATTAATTAAAAAAAATCCACCAACTTTTTAGAAATTTTGTAAAAAATATATTGGTTAGGAGGCAGGGCCGCAAGAGCCTGGCTCCTTCCCTCCGCCTATGGGCTCACAAACCATAACTTTAATATTTTAATTCAAAGGCATTCCTTGTGATTAATATTCCGAGTCGCCCCATGGTCAGTTGTGTTGAGACATAGAATGAGCTGGTAAGGATGGTATCGGCAGTGAGCGGCGTGAGGAAGGTAAGCAAGAGAGTGGAGGCGAGGGGGTTTGTGTGGAGAGGTTGGGAAGAGAGTGTGGAGAGGTTGGGAAGTGAGTTTGAAGATGGCGAAGATGGTAGGGGTGGAAATATTGATGGCAGAGAAGCTGATGGTGGAGGAGGCGGTGCAGGCGAGATGGTGGAGAGGTAGAGAATGGATATGTCACTTTCATATGGTCAAAGGGTGTTTTCGTCCTTTCCATGTCACTTAACGGAAAAAACAGAAAAACGGAGGAAATTGAATGGAGGGAATACTTAAAGTTAAGGATGTAAACGTATGCTCTGAATATATGTCCAAAAGGAAGAAATTATTTAGATAATTTCATCATATCTCAGGGACTAAATAATTAATTTCTCTAATATTTATCATTATTTAGTGTTTTTTAATATCAATGGTTTGATAAGATATACTCTTTTTCGCTCCTTATTGGAAGATATTATATTTTAAACTTATATTTTTTTAATTAATTCAAGTTTATCACATTTTCTGATTACCTGAAACTGAAAATTTGGATTTGTGTTTGTTGAAATTATTCACAAATTTGTATTTATTTAGGTCTTAATTAACTTTAAGTAAGTTTGTAATATCATTATGTTTTATAAAGTTTTTGGCCTTACCAACTTAATTGTTATTTATTCTAAATTGAATCCTATTTTATCATTATTATTTAAGATAATTTTCGGATAATTTTAAAATTTTTTCATTTTTTATTGGAGTATAGTAAATAGTATATCAAGAAAATTTTGTCTTTTACAAATGATAATGTCAATAGTAATTAAACAACCACGTAATGTTTTCTAAATGTCATCAAAGCCATAGAAATAGTTATAGAATACCAATAATTAAATTTTTTACATTTTTTTAAATTATACACACTAATTTAGAAATTATTTTATCACTTTTTAATTAATTAGAAGCTTTTATAAGCCAAAATAACATTGCAAGCTATACAACAGGGGTAGTCCTCTCCTTAGTTCACCATATATTATTGTACTGTTGAATAATTAAAGGGTGACATAATCAAAGGTAACCAAATTAGCCTTAAAAATAAGGCGGTTTTTTAGGAAGATTTGACCTTTAACAATATATTTAAAGCAGATTTGAATATTAATTAAATGGATTTGATACCCTTTTATTTCCATTTCTATTCAAAATAGAAACATAATCTTGTGGTAGCGAATTAGGTCTCCCAAATAAGAGTTAATAATTCTTAATAAATTTTTAATTGAAACAGAATAATGACCACCTCTACAAGTTCTCTCAATTACATAGAAACAGTCGTTGGATTGGTTAGATATCTTAAATCGATAAAATCACATTAAACCAAATAAATTGAATACTTTTAGAATGTATTGAATTGAACGAAAATTTGTATATAGAACTGAACTAAAGCAAATCGAGTTGATTCTTTTCAATTTGCTTCAATTTATTTTTTCAATTTTCACTTGGTTTTCCAAAATTTTTAACAACTGAAATGAACTCTATTTCTTTCTTTTTTATTTTTTCTATAGAAACTGATTCCAAACCTAAAAGTTGAAAACTGAACTAGATCAAATTAAATTCATCGGTTGAATTTGATTTATGGATTTATCCAAATTATGCCCAGCAGTAAAAATATGTGCTAAGCTTCAAACACTACAATAGTAAACAGATGCTAAAAAATAAGGAACTCTTAAAGATTTCCTAATGTTGCTGATAATACCAAAAGTAAGAACTTGGCCAAAGGGAACTAATGGAAGCATTTGATGGTGTCTTTGTTCCAATTCAAAATAATTCTCAAATGTTATTTTTATTTGAAGTTTTCTTGTTTTTTTTAAAAAAATCTTATCATAATCACTAATTTGAAATTCATTTTGTCAATTTTATTTGTTTTTTGTCGTGATGTTTGCATTATTATCTCTTATTGTAACACTTTTCAAGGAAAATTTGCTTAACTTTCACCAACACGAGGCCCGAGTAAGGCTGGTACAGAGGCATTGGAAACTGAAGACAAATCAAAAAACAGCTAATGGGCATATGACAGAACTGCAAAATTTCCGGCTATCAATTACCAACATGCAGCCAGAGAAATCCTCAACAATGGAAAATTGGAACTTAGCATCTGCGATTGCTATCTAAGACTAAAAATAGCTAGGATAAGCTCTTCTTCTGTTATCTAACAATGATATTATTGTCAATTTATAGGTAGAGACGTACAAAAAAAAGGCAACTAAGCTGGAGGCAGCGGTGAGACGCATGATTACGGATGAAAATGCTGAGCTGCTAGTTGTTCTTGACATTATCGATAATGTTCAAAGGTTAGGATTGGGATACCGGTTCGAGAATGAGATAAGGAGAGCCCTTGACAGATTTGTGTCTTCTGGGATATTTGATGCCGCGGTGAATAATGGCCTCCACGCTACTGCTCTTAGCTTCAGACTTCTTAGAGAACATGGCTATAAGGTCTCTCCAGGTACCCATTTCTCTTTTATTAAATTATTTTCATGTTCTATTTTCAATTATTTTCATTTCTTTGATAATTTCTTGATTGGATAATTTCTGTCCAAGCATAGATGTGTTAATGAAATTCAAGGGTGAAAATGGAAATTTCAAGGAATGCCTTGCGGAGGATGTAAAGGCAATTTTGGGTCTATATGAAGCCTCATTTCTTGCTTTTGAAGGAGAAAATCTGTTGGATGAGGCTAATAAATTTGCAAGATTACATTTGAAGGGCCTCAAAGAAAAAGAAAACATAGGCAAAGATATTGTTGAACAAGTGAATCATGAATTAGAGCTTCCTTTGCATCGAAGGACGCAACGGCTGGAGGCTTTGTGGAGCATTGAAGCATACAGTAAAAGGGACGATGCAAATCAAGCACTGCTCGAACTTGCTGTAATGGATTTCAACATGGTTCAGTCAATACACCAAAGGGATCTTCGAGACATGTCAAGGTGATTTTTTTTTTTTTTTTTTTTTTTTTTTTTTATAGAGGCTCCCTGTGCATCGAAAGGACGCAACGGCTGGAGGCTTTGTGAGCATTGAAGCATACAGTAAAAAGGGACGATGCAAATCAAGCCTGGCTCGAACTTGCTGTAATGGATTTCAACATGGGTTCAGTCAATACCCAAAGGGAATCTCGAGACATGTCAAGGTGATTTTTTTTTATTTTTTTTTTTTTTTTTTTTTTTTTTTTTTTTGATATCTTATAAATGCTTCCGGAAACTAATTTATTGAGACTTCTACATACTTGAGAAGCTTAATACTTAAAATTCGTTAATTATGTAGTGTAGTCAGAGTACTAGGCTTGTTATGTGTTTCGACTGCCGTATCTGTGATGATTGAATTCAAAATCATTGCTTCGTGAATTTCATTCAATAGGTATAAATTTATATAAAAATGGATTTACCATCCTCAAATTTTCTTCGTCTGTGTCTGATAGGTGGTGGAGGAATATGGGACTTCCAAATAAGCTGGACTTTGCTAGGGACAGATTAACAGAAAGCTTCTTTTGGGCAACTGGAATGGTATTTGAACCTCAATACAGTAATTGCCGTAGAGCTTTGACAAAGGCGGCTAAGTTAATAACTCTCTTGGATGATGTATATGATGTCTATGGCACTTTGGATGAGTTGGAGCTGTTTACAGATGCCGTTCAAAGGTTGTGACAAGAGAGAACGAGTTTCCATTTTGTTTATGTTTTCAAATTGGTGATTATATTAATTGTTGCTACTATTAATTGATTATTTCAGATGGGATGTCAATGCAATCAATACGCTTCCAGATTATATGAAGTTATGCTTCCTAGCTCTCTACAATACTGTTAATGAGATGACTTATGAAGCCCTTATGGAGACAGGAGAGAACATTCTTCCTTACCTAACAAATGCAGTAAGTGTCAAGTTCTCATTGTAATTTAATCTGCATAGAATATGGTAACCTCTGCTTTTTTTTTTTTTTTTAATTCTTTAATTGTTTTTAATACAATATATGTTAAATTGTCTTTCTTTCAGTGGGCTAATTTATTGAAAACATTCCTACAAGAAGCAAAGTGGTTTTACAATAAATCTACACCAACATTCGAGGAATATCTTGAAAATGCATGGATGTCAGTATCAGGACCCCTTTTATTAGTTAGTGCCTATTGCTTTTTGAGTAAGAAAAGTACAAAACAGGAGCTTGAAAACTTAGAAAAGAACCACAATCTTTTACGTTGGCCCTCCATCATCTTTCGGCTCTGCAATGACATGGGCTCTTCTTCGGTATGTTTTCCTTTCCGAGTTTTTCCCTTTTATTTTTGTTCTGCTATAATGAAATATTACATGGACTATGTTTGAGATGTTTCTGTAATGTAATCAAACTGCATTTTTCATGTAACGTAGGCCGAATTAGAGCGAGGTGAAACTGGAAATTCGATTACCTACTACATGAATGACAATGGTGTTACTGAGGAAGTTGCAAAGCAGCATGTGAGGAATTTAATTGACGAGACATGGAAGAAAATGAACAAAGAAAGAATTGAAAATTCAATCTTGGCAAAGCCTTTTGTTGAAACAGCTTTTAACCTTGCTCGAATAGCCCATTGCATATACCAGTATGGAGATGGGCATAGTGCTCCAGATGAAAGATCAAAGAAACGTGTCGCATCGGTGATAATCGAGCCTCTTTCACTTAAAGATAGATAAAACGACATACTTTGTCTAGTACTAATTTACATAAAAAAATAAAGAAAGGACAGAAGCTAGGTATATATGTTTAACTAATGTGGAAATCATGGTTATGGTATTCCAAGCCAAAAAGTCAACATTTTTTTTCCCACTTCTTATAGATTAATTGATTGATAAAGAACAAAATGCGTATTAATTACTATATTTGAATGTTATTGAATAATGAGAATTCCTACATTGATCTTACTAAAATTTAAAATATACTAAAATAATTTTAGTAATAGCCAATTAAATTTTATTTAAAAAATTATCTTTAATAGATAATTAAGTCTTTAAAACTTTTAACTAAGATTTTATATTTAAAATATGTATTTAAAATAAAATTAAACTCAAAAGCAAATTTAAATAGACTTAAACAATATTAATTAATTTAAGCAGCTTAACTGGCTGAAAATGGCTGTAGCAAGTGAAAGAAATTAATTACATAATATGTCGACTACTAAACAGCAATGATTTTGTCTTACACGACAAAGACACATTGCATGGAGATTGTGTTAGCTTAATGACTAACTTTCTTGGTCCATTCTCTTGCCCAATGGTCTGCTTAATTTGGGTTGTTATGTGAGTATTAAACGAGCTGAAGCCAGTAAGCCAAATATGAAGTTGTGCATGTGCTAAGTTGTGGGATTTAGATAATTCTTTCTATTTTTTTTTCCTCGAAAAAGAAAAAACAAAAAAGAAATGTTTTAGATATTTATATTTTTTTTTCTTTTATGTAATTTTTTTTTATTAATTAACACATAAATAATTAAGAATTTTAAAATTTTGATTATCTTTTTTAATAAATATATATGATAGTGAGACATTTGTTTTTTTTCCTTTTATGTAATTGTTTTTTAAATTAATTAACAACATAAATAATTAAGAATTTCTAAAAATTTGCATTAATCTTTTTCTTAAATAAATATATACTGATAGTGAGACAATTTGAAACTTTTATATTTTTGATCTTTTAAAATATTTTATTTTATCTTTGATTATAATTTACAATAATTTATTAAAAACTTTTATATTTTATTTTTAAATATTTTTATTTTATTTTGATTATAATTTAAAATATTTTATTTAAGAGAGAGATAAAATTAGAAAAGATTATTTTTTTTCTTTAACTGTTGTGACTTTAATTTAGTAACAGATGACATGTTTATGATTAAATATTTTTAATTTTCTTGATATTTTTTTCTCTTATATACTAAATCTATTTGACTTGAAAGAAAATGGTGTTTATGAAATTGAAGTCCTTTTTGGAGTTTCAAGAATTTATGTGCACGTGCATATATATATTTCTTTCTCTAATGCACTGGGTAAGTAATCCCCCACTATAGTTAAAGTGATTACCATTATCAATTCAAATCATCTTCTAATTTCTTTTTCTTTATCTAATAGCAACAAATAATTTTTTTTTTCTTTTTATTATATTTTTATATAGATATTGATTTGGGGTTGAGGGCATGGGATTGGAGATTGAGTAATGACTTGATTTTCTTTTTGGACACTTATTAGGATTTTGAGAATCTTAAATTAGAGACTAAAAAATCAGGTTTAGAGATGATGTTAAAGTTTATTTTAAGATCACTTTCATTATATAAAATAAATTAAGTACATAAGAAGTAGCATAACAAATACCTTGTACGGTAAAGTCTAATTCCAATTAATCAATTGCATTTATTTTAACCTAAATAAAAACTTATGCTTTAATATTATATAGATGAAAAATTAAAAGAGTAAAAAATAAATATATAATAAACATATTCAACATACAATGCACATTATGAAAAAGACTAGTATATACAAAAGTGGAAATGAGATAGGAATAATGGAATTCCTGATAATGCACTTAATGAAATTTAAAATGTTCTAAAATAACTTTATTGATGACCAATTCAATTTTATTTTAAATATTATGCTTAATACATAATTAACATAACCTATATATTAATAAATATATTTTATTATTAATTATTTTAATGTTATATAATAGTGCTATACATGAAAATTAAAAATTCTTTTATTTACTATATATGTTTTTAATTTTATTCAATTTAAGATTTAAATTAAAATTTAGAGCTAAATACATATCACAAGCTTCATGTATTTATTATATACATTGTTTTATTCTCTTTAAGATAATGAAATAAATTTATTATATACAAAATACTGAAATAAATTTATAATTTATAATCTATAATCTATATACATGTAGGCATGGCCGGTTCAGTGAACCGCCGGTTCCGGTTCACTGAACCGACAGTTCGAGATGTTTAAAATTTTGAACCAGAACCGACCATTGAACCTCCGGTTCCGGTTCCGGCACGGTTCAGCACAGTTCCGGCGAACCGACGTTCAAATTACAGTTCCGATTCAGTTCCGGCATTATGCAAATTTTTAAAAAAAAATAAAATTTTGATTCCGAATTCATGAATAAATAATAATTTTAAAATGTTTAAATTTTATTAACTAAATGAATTATTATTTCATGATATAAATAGATTAATTTAAGAATGTTTTAAATTTATTAACTATAATGAATATTATAAAATTTTTAAAAGAAAACTTTTTTTAACTAACTTAGAAACTATTAATACATTAAATTTACATTTTGTTGCTAATTTACTAGAATATAAAAAAACTACAAATGGATAAAAATTAATGAAATGAGTTGCGAATGTAATATTGTTCAAATACTAAAGAAAATTTATTTAAAATCAAATGAAGTAAATTTATGACTTGGAACATTTGAGTTTTAGAGAAATGAATTTGGGAATTGGAATGTTAAGAAAATAAAAATGAAACAATAGATTATTCCAATATTAAGGAAAATAAAAAAGAAAATAAATGGACATGGAAATTTTGAAGAAGAAATTTTGATCTGAAATAAGCAAAAAGAGTTAGGAAATAAAAAATCACAACTTCATTCATATCTATAAAATTGTTTCTCATTTATTAGTTTTCAAAATTGTCCCTTATAATGAAAACAATAACAGTAAATATTTTGTGGATAATTTAAGTAAATTATCAGTATAAATAAATAAATAAATTGATTTAAAAAAATGAATAAATTTATTTACCAAAAATAAATAAAATAATAATGCGACCCTCAAACTAGCCATTTGAGCCTATTTTTTTTTACCCATTCTTTTCTGTTTACAAAGTGAAACATAAGTTAGTTCAAACGGTTAGTTTGAAAACCTTTTTTGTTCTTTACGCAATTAAGTCAATGATTTAATGAATATTGTTTTGTTTTCACTTACTTTTAGAAATTAATGTATCATTGCTGTTTTTTCTTTTCCACATAAATCAAATCAGACTATAATTAAATTTATTTGTTCAAAATTTTAAGCAACAATAATTTTGTTTGGTGAATCTCCGGTTCCGAACGGCGAAACCCTTTGTTTTCCGCCCTGTGCCCCGCCGGTTCACCGTCGGACCGCCGGTTCCGGGCCGGTTCAGGTTCATTTTTTAACATTCACATGAACCTTAACTGGCCCTTGAACTGCCGATTCCGGTTCAAAATTCTGAACCGCCGGTTTCGGTCCGGTTTCGGTTCGTCTATAGTACGGTTCGGTTCCGATTAGAACCGGACGGTGGCCATGCCTATATACATGTGGGAACAAATGAGTAAATTATGTAATTTCTTAAAATAGCCGTACTTTAATTTGGAGAATATATATATATATATATATAAAATTCCGAAGCAAAAAAAATCTTCAAGAAGCATAGGTGGCACTTTATTCTTTCAACATTCCTTTTTTTCTCAACATGGCCTTTTTTTCTCCACTATTTTTCCATGTCACACAAACTTTTTTTAATTAATTTTTAAACAATTATTTTTTTCCCATATCTGGAATGATTATCTAATCTAACTATATCTAGGCGGCAATAATTCGCTTAAAAATAGGACATAATTCTAACCAATTCTTGAATTTTAAAAATTAAAACTTCGTCTAATACCACTTTTTGAATTTATTCTTGAATTTGTTAAATTAAAAGTTTTTAATTTTAAAAAACATTTGAATTTTAAAATTAAAACTTTAAAACTTTTGAATTTTGAAAAATTAAAAAATTTTAAAGAAAATTTTAATTTTTTTCATCTAATTATATATATATACCTCCATAATTAATCATTTTCCCAATGATTTTCTTGTATAATGAATTTTTTAGCTTTATTTATTTAATTTTTTTTTTTTGAAAGAGTTTACCTTCTTTTTGTTGCTTTCAAAATTCCTCTGAGTTTCGATTGCTTCTTTTAATTTATTTCCTTTAATTTGTATATATGTGGCGGTTTTTTTATTTTGCAAAATCAATTCTAGATAATATTAATTCCTTTTACTCCAATCTAAATAATGTTAAATTCCTTTTTTTCAACCGAAGTAAATGTTAATTTTTTATCTCTTTTTTTCTTTTTCTACAATTTCAGAATTTTTTATTTTTTTGTGCAAGTTTTGTGGTCCTTCTCTTCTTTTTTCTATGCATCCTGTGATTTCTCTTCTCTTTTTGTTATGTAGCTATGAGAAATATCATGTTGATGGGAGATGAGAAAAAGAAAAGCTAACTATTAATCAATTTATGTATTTTTTAATTTATTATATTTTTTAGTAAGATAGTAGAAAATTTATAAACTATTCATTGCTATCATATTCATATATATGTAAACTTAGTTATTTATATTTTTTTTAAATTCATGCTACTTATATATATATATATCATATTCTAACAATTTGGTGAAGTCCAGTCAAATCACATGAATTTGAGTATTTGAGTTTTTGAAGAGAGTTTCACTAAAATTGGGTAAGAGAAATATAAATATACTTTTATTTATTTATTTATTATTATTATTATTATTATTATATTTATATCTATTTATTATTATTATTATTATTAATTATTATTATTTCATAAGAGAAATCTCTTTACTCTAAAGTTATTATAAGCAAAAATGAAAATTTTTCACCTACCTATAATAAAATAATATTTTTTAACTGTTTATTTATTTATTTTACTAGGGAAAAATTATTATTTTTCATCCCTGAAGCTTTGGCCATTAATTATTTAGTAGTTATCGACATTTAATACAATATATTTATAACGTCCTTGAGGTTTGCCCAACGCGTTATATTACATTGGTC